CAAGGAGCAGCTGGAGAAGTGAGGGATGCGTTGCGTGAGAGCAGAGAGCATCATGCCTACGCTGCAAATTGCACATTCTCCCTTCTCCTTTCCGTTCTGTCTGTCATGTACAAAATCTGACGGAAGGGCCCCCATACTGGGGGTATTTGAGGTGGGGGGGTTAGGGCGGGTCCAGCGCGTACGTTTTCCGTACATTACAGTTCATCCAGTGCGTTAATCTGTACTGCGTCACGGTTCAAAACGGTGCAATTTCAAAACGCTGTGCACCGCCTGATATCGTTTTAAACCACGACGAATGAACTGTATAGCACCTGTAAACGTACGCGCTGGACCCGCCCTAAGCTTTGATAACTGATTGGAGGAAACGAACTGACGAGCGTGATGGCATGGCATGCGCTGCCATCCACCAGAACCATACGGGCTGGTGGTGAAGCTGTTGTCCCGTCCCTGGGAGTCGCGGTGCCGTCAACTTATGTGGTTCGAGAAACTGGCGGGAAACGCTGGTTAGCCGTTTGACACTCTTGTGGCAACCACCCACAATCAATAACTGCGTTTCCGAAGCAGGTACGTACTGCTGGGAAGGCTAGGAATTGCAGTTCTAGGGATCCGAACTAGGTTACTTCTACAGTGATGTTCAAAATTCGAACAGGCAGGGAAGATCTGACTTTGATGGGGATTCTGACTGGTTGCGTCTCTTGTGTGAAACTTAGAGCAATTTCTGACACGAATGGTTATGCAAGTGTCAATTTCACGGTAACGAGGACAGTTTCCCGCAGCCCTCATGTCGAAATTATGTACTACAGTACTTCGTTTGACCCGACTTTCGCACTGCAATCAAGCCTTCCACTCAAGCCTTCTGCTCTGTTCCTTGGATGGTAGATTTTACTGCTGGCTTGGTTGCCCTGTAAGGGCGTGTTACATTTTCTAACAGCGGCTAAAATCCGGACAGCCGTCCGAGAACGGTTCAGATTCCGAATCTCGGGCAGTCCGGGTCCAACGTCCAGACTAAACCTCGTCCGACGTTGTTTATGAAACATTTTCAACCTGACGAAATTCAGAGTGTGCGCTAGGTTGTAACCATGATCACGACGAGATTGCGACGAATGTAACACTCAAGCGACTGAAAGACTCGAATCGTAGACCAATAAAAATGCTTTACTGTTAGATCCGTCCACTTATCGAACTGTAATCGTCCGGTCGAGTTGGGAAGGCAATTCACGCAAAATGTTCCATCATCGGTCCGATCGTTAACGACGTCGCAAGTGGTCTAGCGAGGAAACTGACGAAAATAAACGACAACGGTAACCGCTAAAAAGTCCGGACGACTGCTCATCCGGACGGGCTGAAGTAAACAATGTGAACCGCCCTAAGAGTGCTAGAAAGGATGGTTGGCAGTTCAAGGTGTGTCACGTATTCTGAAAACACCAAGCAAACTGCCTCCAGGCATGAACGCTTCGCGTTTGATCAACGTCAACGCGATGCCACACGCTTTGGGCCCGCCTTTGAGTATCTGTGCTCATTTTACAATTAAGAGCTTCAAACACAATGTAGGCCTCAGCTCCGCGTCGAACCTAGCTCCTTCTCCGTGGGTTCAGGCAGAGCGCGAAGTCGAAACAAGAGGTTTCATCTCGTCCGTCCAGATTCCGCGTGCTCAATCATGGCCGTGGGGTCCGGCTTCGGTAGATCCCAATACGAAATCCGCTGTAGAGGGACGTGCCACAGCCACGGAACCTGCATTACCTGGTAGGAACATCGGAAATGTTGCTACAAAAGAGTCCTCGTATCGCAATCTTCATCCCGCAGAAGCTGCTCCAATTCGAAATACCACACGGAATGTTGCTGGGAATGGCGCTTCTGAGAATGCCAGATCCAAATCTGGTCCAGCGAACGGCACCGCAGGCAGTACTGTCACGGAAAGTCGTGTGGTTGGTTCGGCCGGACCTGAGGCCCAGTTAGGTTCGGCTGCAGCAGTGGGAAGTAACGGGGTTGCTGGAGGTCGCAGAAGAAGAAAAATGCAGCCGAGTTCGGATACACTTGCGAATGCTGAATCAGGAGCTGGGCGCGTGACAAGTATCGAGTCTGCTAATAACGGACGCAGAGGGTCGACTGCATCAGACGTGAACCGGCGGCTGACTTCCAACGCTGCGTCGCAGCCGTTGGATGATTCAGTAACCGCGTCTCAGCCGTTGGATGTGTCTGATCCTAGGGTTTGGCTCCCTCCGCCGCCAGACGTGCCCAGACCTCGTGCTACGCATAATGCAGCCATGCTGGCGTATATCGGGGATGGAATCTATGAGGTGAGACTACGTGTAGTGGTGTCAATTCTTAAGAGTAAGCACTTCCTGAGACCACAGGGATGCGTCAACATACCTGAGGGAGACTCCCCGCTTGCTGGTAGGGCAGATCGGGGAAATGCCCTACTACAGTAATGTACACCCGACAAGGAAGTCATTAGAATTGAGATTTTAGACAGTCTTGCTGTTTCCTTTCTGTTTTCCACCTCTCTTTATTTGCATACATCCAGGATCTCCTCTCTCCCTCTTTCAGCTGTTTATAAGGCATCATTTCGTGAACAAGAATTTCGTTGTGGTCACATTAGATTCGTTGATCCCTAATGCATGGATTTCTTCTAACAACCCTCCCATCCACTCATCTCCTTCGCCATTCTGCCAACCCTCGCTCCCTGATCAGCTGTATGCGCGGCGTCACTTCTTGAACCCCCCGTCCGCCATAGCCACGTACTGCCAACGAGTCACAGCTGTTGTCTGCTGCGAAGCCCAGGTGAGATTTGGTTTCGCTGATGCACGCGTATGTGCACATGAGACCCACACGCAGTAGATACTATCGCCACGTACTGCCAACAAGTCACAGCTCTTGTCTGCTGTGAAGCCCAGGTGAGATTTGGTTTCGCTGATGCATGCGTATGTGCACATCAGACCCACACGCAGTAGATACTCTCGCCACGTACTGCCAACAAATCACAGCTCTTGTCTGCTGTTAAGCCCAGGTGAGATTCCGTTGCTGTAACACACAAGTATATGCATGCGTGCACGCCCACCCCCCACCCCCACCCCCCACCCCTCCTCCCCACCCACCCCCCCCCAACACATACACGAAGAGGCACTCACCGACCCGCACACATCCAGTGGCACTGCCCATATCGCCAACAGCCTCGTGGGCTGTGGGCTGAGAGGGCCAGATGCGAACTGACTAACTATCCTCTCACGCTTCGATGTGCACATGCATTGGGTGTTTGCGGGACGCGTGTGAGTCGACTAAAAACTCATCTGTGCACGCACAGATGCATTGGGTGCTTGCAGGACGCTTGTGGGTCGACTTAATACCTATCAGTGCACTGCACTGCGCACATGCATTCGTTCCTTGCAGGACGCTTGTGGGTCGACTTAATGCCTATCAGTGCACTGCACTGCACACATGCATTCGTTCCTTGCAGGATGCTTTGCTGCGACGATTGACCTCCTCGAAGATGCTCACAGAGGAAGAAAGGTACGTGCACGCATGCATGCATGTGTGTGAGTTTTGGGGATGCTGTGGGGGAGTGTACCATGGTAAGTGATGCCTTTGCTACGGCGATTGACCTCCTCGAAGATGCTCACAGAGGAAGAAAGGTACGTGCATGCATGCATGTGTGAGTCCGTGTCTGACTTTGATTCATTTTTCTGTTTTCTTCATATGCATCTGGGCTGGGCCCACTGGTACGATTCATACATATGTAATTCTAGATTCCTTAAGGACGCTCTACAGATTCCTTGCAATGACTGAACACTCCTTAGTCACAGGAGTATACCATGCCATGGTGAGTGATGCCCCTAACTAGTTGATTTTGTCTGTAACTGTGCGGTGGAATACGGTGCCATGCTGCAGGGACGTGGTGCAATGCGGTGGGCCCAGCCCACTGGTACGATTCATACATATGTAATTCTAGATTCCTTAAGGACGCTCTACAGATTCCTTGCAATGACTGAACACTCCTTAGTCACAGGAGTATACCATGCCATGGTGTGTGATGCCCCTAACTAGTTGATTTTGTCTGTAACTGTGCGGTGGAATACGGTGCCATGCTGCAGGGACGTGGTGTGATGCGGTGGGAAGGCAATGCTTCCACAGGTGCCTTTTGAGCATCCCACAGGTGTAACCATGTAACTGTGTAACTCTCATGCCATGCTGCAGGGACGTGGTGCGGTGGGGAGGCAATGCCTCAACGGGGGCTAGGAAGGCCAAGGGGAGGGCTGGATCAACTGTGTATGCCAACGCCACTGCACTTGAAACACTTGTGAGTGATACGACTCTCGTTTGGCTGCTTGAATGATGAGACTCTCGTCTCGTTTGTGGGTGAATGAGACTCTCGTTCAGGTGACCTTTGAGAAGACACAAAGGTACTTAAAGTCAGCAGAAGGTGATCCAGGGTGTATGCCAAAGCAACTGCACTTGAAACACTTGTGAGTGCAAATCTCATGTGATTTCTTGAGTCATGCCAACACCTGCTATTGGAGCACTAGCAGTCACTACACTTGTAAAACATACAGGCTGATTAGCTTTTGCAGTGGGTTGCTGTCTTCGTATGAGTTCTTTTTGTTCACCCTTGTTTTTGTTGTGTTTTGTGTTTTTGCTTTGTGTTTTCCCTTGCCCTTCTCAGATTGGATTCCTCTACCTCACCAATCCTCCCCGCCTCGAAGAATTAATGTACAAACTTGGCTTTGTGTGTGATGCCTCGGATCTGCTCCTTCCTTCCCATGCAAAGCGCCAATAGAAAGAAATCATTTCCATGCGCATAGTTGCACTCGCTTATTTTGTGTGTTTCAACCAACACTAGCGTCATTGTGTTTTGGGAGTATATTTCATGTAACTTTAGGAGACAACTCGCTTACACTCAATGTTGTGCAACCTTAGTGTTCGGACTGGTTGCTTCTAGTGAGTCAGCCTGTCACAAAAGCAAGACGACAAGAATCCACAAACCCATTCAGCCGACTCTTCGTCCTATGACGCGGTTCCACCTCCTCCAGCGGTTCTGCCGCCGTGGATCGCGCCGCGATACCCGCCACAGCGATGTTGCCAACGGAGTGTGGAACCGCGTGATTCGCGCGGAAAGCACGGCTTGCAGCAGTGCTGCCGCTACCAGCGCTAGCAGCACCGGTGGCTGCTCCACCATTAGGATCAATGGCTGTGATGGCGGAGCAGGGTTGATCGGTGGATCTGGACCGTCCAGATGGGACCATCGGCATCAGGCTGGGCTGCTGGGCTCGATCAGATTTGATCTCCTCCCACGAGTCGAATCTTCTGATCGCGAGTCTTGTCACGAGCCTAGCACAGCCACGTCAGCAGATCCGCGTCAGCATAGGACCGCGTCGCTAATCCCGTCCGCTTCTTGCGCCGCCAGCTCCACATTAGAGGGTCCTTTCCCGTGGAATGAAGCAACGGCGGAATTCTCCGCTCCCCAGTTCCGCTTTTCCGCGCCACCCCCGTTTTCCGCCTCTTCCGCCAGCCCTCTTCCCCCCTTCCGTTCCGCCGCCTCCCCCTCCTCCCCGCCGCATCTCGCTTTCTTTCGTTCCGCTTCCGCAACTTCCGCCTTTCTGCCCGGAAGCTTCGCCTTCTCGGCCGCCGGGTTTCACTCCTCTGCTACTTCCGCGAATGGCGCCGCAATCGGCGGCGCCTCCGGCTCTAACACTAGCGACGAAAGCAGCAGCCAAAATGCAGCCAGCGAGTCCGTTTTGTCTGACGTGCCGCTTCCCTCCGGTGCTGATGTCAGCGGCGCGGTATTAGGCGACGGTGCCGCTGACGTCATCAGTGCTGCCACGTCGGACCTGGGGGTGACAGTGGGGTCTGAGCTGGCAGCGGCGGCGGCGCACTGCTCGGCGCCCATTGCCGCGTTGCAGCAGCTGATTGGTGCAGTGCATGACGTGGCAGGCCTGCCCTGGTGAGTGAGTGACGTGTCATGTGTTTATTCGGTCTTGCCCAAAGCATTGTTCATGCACTGGAGCCAGGCGAGCACCCCGTTATTGTGTTGTGATCCTCTCGTTATAATCACAGGTGGCTTTCTATAGCAGCAGCAACGGTGGGGATCAGGCTCATCCTGCTGCCTGCATTTGTCTACCAAGTCAGATCAACGGTCAAGATGGCTGTGAGTGTCAGATCAACGGTCAAAACGACAATGGGTTCAGCTGCGAGCTGCAGCACAACATACAATATTTCATCATCAAAAGTCCTCAGCTTTTGCTTCATTCTCAGCTTTTGCATCATCTCACATCATCTCACATCATCTCACATCATCTCACATCATCTCACATCATCTCACATCATCTCACATCATGAGCCTCATACTCGCTGCTCCTTTTTTACTTTCTCCTTTTGACTCCCCGTGCCTTTTTCTTGCATCTACCCCTCTTTCTTTTTCTTGCATCTACCCCTCTTTCTTTTTCTTGCATCTACCCCTCTTTCTTTTTCTTGCATCTACCCCTCTTTGTTTTTCTGTTTTACCGTGCCCTTCATTCGTTTGTCATTCCCCCCTCTCTCCCCTTCTCTCTACCTCTTTCTGCCTCCCTCCAATCCCAACCAAAAACCAAACCCAACCCAACCGCACCCCACCCCTCACCACCAGCTCATCAAGCCAGAGATGGAGCGACTGTTGAACAAAGTCAAGGCCGCTGTGAGTCGCTCTGCCCTTCTCCTCCTCTCTCCTCCCACCTCTCTCCTCCTGTCCCCTCCCTCCTCTCTCTTCTCTCCTCTCTCCTCCTCTCCCCCTCCTCTATTGTTACCCATTTCTCTCCCACCCCTTCTCCGCAATGCGTTAGTTACATTGCCCGCTAACCTCAGGGCCCCCCTCTATAAAGCTCTAACGTTTCTGTGTGAAACCTCAACCGGTGACTTTTGAGTCGATTCAAAAGTCAACTCGTTGCGTTGCTCCCCAACCCCAGGCCCCCTTTTATAATGCTTCAAACCGTACAGATTAAACCTCGACCTGTGTTTCTGCCAAACCCCCTCCTCATCACCCTCATCACCCTCATCACCTCATGCATCACAGGGGTACGACACAGAGGCAGTTGCTCACTGCAATGGCAAGATGCAAGATGCAAGATGCAAGATGCAAGATGCAAGATGCAAGATGCAAGATGCAAGATGCAAGATGCAAGATGCAAGATGCAAGATGCAAGATGCAAGATGCAAGATGCAAGATGCAAGATGCAAGATGCAAGATGCAAGATGCAAGATGCAAGCGGCAAGAGCTGATCTGTCCGTCCCTTCCTTCTCCTCCCCTCTCCCTCTCCCTTCCCCCTCCCTCTCCCCTCCCCCCCCCCCCCCCCCTCTCCCCTCCTCCCCCCTTATGATTCATCGCAGGGCTACGACACGGAGGCAGTGGCTCACTACAATGGCAAGATGCAAGCGCTGCTAAAGAAGTAGGTGCTCTCGAGTCACTGTGCTCGAGCTTGTGCTTGTGCTTTTGCTCTGTGCTTGTGCTTGAACTCGAGCTTGTGCTTTTCCTCTTTTCCCCGTCAGATTGTGAGTTTGTCATTTAAGATTTTGTTTCTTCATATTGATGACTACCTTAAAACCTCTGAAATTTCCTTGTATAGAAAGGCGGTATGTCCCATACCCTAAACCCTTCTCCCTGTTTTTGAGGCGCCTTAAAAGTCGTTTTGAGGCGCCTCAAAATATTTCTCTGTGTACAAGCGCTGTGTGTCCCATACCCATACCCTTCTCCCCATTCCTGGCCAGACCATAGCCACACCGCACCTGCGTACTCCTTCCTCCCATCCCTACCATCTGAGGTGACTTTTGAGTCGACTCAAAAGTCATTCCTGACCAGACCATAGCCACACCGCACCTGCGTACTCCTTTCCTCCCATCCCTACCATCTGAGTACTCCTTCCTCCCATCCCTACCATCTGAGTAGTCCTCCCTAAACCTCCAAAACCCCGAAACCCTTAAACCCGAACCTCTTGAAACTGTAAACCCCCGAAACCTGAAACCTCCGAAACCCTTCTCCTGTGATGGATTTGACGCGTCAAGCCTCATTGACGCTTGCGCCTTCCCTCCCTCCCTGGCTGGCCTGCTGCCGTGTGTGATTAGCCGATTTTTGAGTCGACTAAAAAATCGACTAATCACACATTCCTGTGATGGATTTGACGCGTCAAGCCTCATTGACGCTTGCACCTTCCCTCCCTCCCTGGCTGGCCTGCTGCCGTGTGTGATTAGTCGATTTTTGAGTCGACTGAAAAATCGTCTAATCACACATTTCTGTGATGGATTTGACGCGTCAAGCCTCATTGACGCTTGCGCCTTCCCTCCCTCCCTGGCCTGCCTTCCCTCCCTGGCCTGCCTGCCTCCCCCTCTCCCCTCCTTCGACACATCTATCCTTCCCTCCTCCCATTGCTCCTCGGCTCTTATTCTCCTTCCCTTCCTGGGCTTCTCCCTGTCTCCTGTTGCACCCCCCTTTCCCCCCTGTTGCTCCCCCCTCCCCCCAGACACAACACCACGCCCTTTGCTCCTCTCCTCGGGATCTTCCTGCAAGCGCCCATCTTCATCGGTTTCTATTTCGCTGTACGTATTTTGCACTTGCACTTGCACTTGTTCTTCCCCCCTTCTCTTCTTGCTGTACCGAGGTGACTTCAAAGTCGATCCAAAATAAACCAAGGTGACTATTGAGTTGACTCAAAACGCACTTGCACTTGCTCTTTCTCTTCCCCCTTTCTCTTCTTGCTGTTTGCGTACCGTGCACTTGCTGCACTTGCTGAGTCGACTCAAAAGTCATTTTGCTGTACGTGTTTTGCACTTGCACTTGCTCTTTCTCTTCCCCCTTTCTCTTCTTGCTGTACGCGTACCGTGCACCTGCTGCTCATCCCTGATTCACACTTCGCTGGTTGCCTGCATAAGCTCTTCTCTTGAGTCGACTCAAAAGTTGTACGCTTATTGTGCACGCGCTGCACTTCGCTGGTTGCATGCATAAGCTCTTCTCTTCTGATCGCCTGCAATGCAAGCGCTTCGTCATTCAGTCTCAGGCCAAGCCTTCTCTGCTTCAAGTTTTGAGTCGACTCAAAACTCGACTCATTTTGAGTCGACTCAAAACTCGACTCATTTTGAGTCGACTCAAAACTCGACTCATTTTGAGTCGACTCAAAACTCGACTCATTTTGAGTCGACTCAAAACTCGACTCATTTTGAGTCGACTCAAAACTCGACTCATTTTGAGTCGACTCAAAACTCGTCGTTCAGTCTCAGGCCAGGCCTTCTCTGCTTCACTTCGAAATTTCTCAGAAAACACTTCCTTTAGTCCTTTTGCCGCAGAGAAAAATAGGTTCGACCCAGATCCAACAGACTTAACTCGTCCTAATCTTTGAGATTTCTCAGAGAATGCTTCCTTAAGACCGTTCCTCAACCCCCCTTCTCCCTGTCCTCCTCCCCCTTTCCCTATCCTCCTCCCCCTTTCCCTATCCTCCTCCCCCTTTCCTATCCTCGTCCCCCTTTCCCTATCCTCCTCCCCCTTTCCCTATCCTCCTGTTGCAGATCACAGGAATGGCGGAGCACATGCCATCGTTCGCAACAGGGGGAGCTTTCTGGTTCACCGACCTCAGTACACCTGATCCCACCTATCTGCTGCCTCTCATGTCCTCTGCTGGCATCCTGGCTGCTGTGGAGGTATGTCGTTTTCTGCAAAGCTCACCTCACCTCACCTCACCTCACCTCACCTCACCTCACCTCACCTCACCTCACCCCACCCCACCTCACTTCACCTCACCTCACCTCACTTCACACCTCACCTACCTGCTTCTTCTCCTGTCCTCGCACCCTCGCTCCTGTCCCTTGCACCCCTTGCACCTCCCCCCTTCTCAGCTGCATTTCTATTTTTCAATCCTTTACAGGTGAAGTGAGGTGCGGTGCGGTTTAATCCTTTGCATGCCTCTCTTGTATTCCAGCTGAACGCAGCAGAGGGCATGGAGGGAGCACCCAATGCAGCGCAGATGAAGTGGTTCATGCGAGGGCTTGCTGTGACCATGGTGCCGCTCACTGTCACGTTCCCTAAGGTAACGCATGTCTGCTTACTGTCGCCTTCCCTAAGGTAACTTTCTCTCACACTGTCACGCTCCTTGCTGTCACATTCTCCAAAGCAAGTTGTTTTGAGGCAGCGCAACTGAAGTGGTTTATTATGAAAGGATTGGCTGTAAACCATGGTGCCTCTTACTGTCACGTTCCCTAAGGTTGTACACTGCCATGCCACTCATGTTACTTGCTGTCACGTTCCTTAAGGTTGTACAGTGTGACACTACGTAATGTACACTGCCATGCCGCTCATGTCACACTACGTACAGTGACGTTGTTACTTGCTGTCACGTTCTGTAAGGTAACTTGTTCTGAGCCGCGTTAAAGGAAGAGCAGTGCTGATGGTTAATGAGAGGAGTGGCTGGCTGGGACTATGGTGCTGCTGACTGTCTGCTTCGAGTCGACTCAAAAGCTGGTTGATGAGAGGAGTGGGTGGGACTATGGTGCTGCTTCGTCCATTCAACTACTCCAGCCCTTCGAACATGAGTCAAGGTGACCCAGTGGCTGGGACTATGGTGCTGCTTACTGTCATGTTCCCTAGGGTAGCATCAATTGTGATGTTTGCTAGATATGCACATGTGTTCCTGTGCTCATTCATTGTCAGTAAACCTAATGTATTCATATGTGTACTTGCAGTGTGCTTTTTTCTTCAGTGCGTTGGTTTTTTTCTCCTTCTTCTTAGATTATTCTTAGCTGCCTTTTCTATTAATTTTTTGTTTTTCTCTTTTTTTACTGCAGGCTGTGTTCTGCTACTGGATCACCACCAACGTCTTCTCTCTTGTCCAGGGCCTAGGTACGTGTGTAGTGATAAACGGGATGACGTTTGAGTCGACTCAACTGTCACCAGGTGTTGCTGCAGGCTGTGTAGGCTGTGTTCTGCTACTGGATCACCACCAACGTCTTTTCTCTTGTCCAAGGTCTTGGTACGTGCGTAGTGATGATCGTGCTTGTATAATTTGGCTGAGTCAGATATTCCTCATACACCTTACCTTACGTCATTCGCAATATAGCCTCTGTTTTTTTTTTTTTTTTGGTGCTCCCTTGTGGTCCTTGTTTGGTGTGAATTGATTACCTTGTTGTCATTCACTTCCCTACTAACATCCAATTTCTTTCTTTCGCTGTCTCTTTTCTCAGGTCTTAAGCGCCCTGGGGTGCGGAAGGCTCTTGGGATCCCTACTCTTAAGCCTCCGTCATCGAATGCGTCTCCTGGAAGTGCCTCTCTGGGATTACCTGTGACGCAAACATCTGCCCTTCCTCCTAAAGCAGCCGCAACAACGAGAGGGAACACAAGAAGACCACCGTCAAAACGGAGAACAAGGTGATGTAGTGGAATTAAATGTTGAGGACCTCTCTAGCATTTGTGGTAAATTTTCCTGAGGATAAAATATTTTTGTAGAATTATTGCATATGAGCTTCCTATCCGACTTCGAAGAATCGCACCCGTTCGAATAATAAATATCGACACTTCTTATCGGGAAGGTGTGTCAGCAAGGCTCTCGGCTGCCACGTCATCTCGATACTTTTGAAGCTCGAAGACATCCAAGGAGATCTTCCCAAGCAGGAGGTGTTCCGAGAAAGAGTGCCGCGAGATGGCGCAGAGAAAGACACGCTGCGATGTGCACAGAGCATGAGATACAAAGCTGCACTGAACTTCTTGAATACGGCACAAAGCACTTCCAAACTTCTGTGCACACCTCTAATCCATGTGCTCGGCTGTACGACAGGCAAAAAAATTACCGCTAAACACGCCCGCGCACATTCTGATCTCAGAAAATTCCGAGAGTGAAACTAGTATCAAGCTGTTACCACACCTCAGTCTCCAGACAGACTCAGCTCTACTGATTTGTGGTCTCAGGTTAGGCAGAGTTTCCGAGGGGATACATAGCCTAGCAGTCACTTCACTCACCACCACTAACCAGCAGAATTTTAGAGACTGCTTTCGTCTTCGTGGGTGTGGAAAAGTTTCAAGACTTATCAGAAAACGCACCTTACGTGTACGCGAGATTGATCGAATTAGGCTCGTGAATGAACAGAGCACAGGAAATAAAAGAGCATCTACGCGTTAGATACTAATCTTTCCAGCCCGCACCATTTCTTTCCTGCTTAGAACTTAAGCAAAGGATGGCATTGCTAAGAGCATCCGGCTTGCAACTGCGGCTAAACGTCAGCCCATCGATACAATGCGTAAGTGTCACATACGGTTCCTCCGATCCATCCCATTTCTTTCCATTCACACCTTCTGATACGAAGCTGAAGTTACGCAAGCGGTTTTCTTCCCCCTGTTTGGAAAATATTCATTGGACGGACCTCGACCGCGTTTTGGGGGTGCTTGTTAGTAAGAACAACCTCCCTTGCTATTCTTCAATAAATTAAGTTTCAATGCTCCCCTCTTTTCAGTCACGCAGACGGCCCTCGCCTTTGTCACGCCTTTCTGTAGTCACATGCCAACTGGGCGATTCAAACGAAGGTGGGGAGTCCGTAGTGGCTCGGCCGTTCGAGGCTGAGACGGAGGCTCGGGCACAAGCCAGGCTCGCAGCTTCGGATCCGAACCGACGATACCAGGTGCGAGCAGCAGGTCCATCCTGACTGAACTAGATGCCTCTGCAGGCGGCATTTCCATGTTCTTTTTTCCGGCGTAAATACTGCAGGTTTCAGTGATTGAAAAAATCCAACTGCTGACGCGCTCACTGTTTGATAACAAATAGTCTCAGACATATGCTCATTCTCAAAGCCACCACTCCCAACCACTCCCGACCGTTGCAGGAGATGATGCAACGGAGGGAGGAGAGCCGACAACAGACCATGCGAGAGTACGGCGATGTGAGTCACTCTTGGAAGCCTGAGCCATTTTCGGTTGCATTTTAGATTTCTTAAAAACAAACACCAAAAACCACCTGCAACAACAAACCATGCGAGAGTACGACGATGTGAGTCACTCTTGGAAGCCTGAGCCATGTTTGTTCCAAATAATTAACCCCACCCTTAAAAGCGTGAGCCAAATCCATTTCAAAGTCTTCGAGTCACCCTTGAAAGCGCGAGTCGCTATTCTCTTTCATCTCTGCCTCCCCAACCTTCTTAGTTTCCCCACTTTCCAATTCATCCGCCCGTTTTTTCCTGTACCAGCTGAAGAAGCAGTTGTCGCAGACGGCTATAGGAGTGGGGGCTGCAGGCACGCTCTACTGCTTCCTCGGAATCTCCATTCAGGTGAGAAAGTGCGAGGGTTTCTGTGAGAGTGTGTGCTTGCTGTGTGTGTTGGCAAGTGTGTTTGGGAGGTATTTGGCGAGTGCTTGTTTTGGGAGGTTGTGCGAGTACGAGTGGGTGTGTGTGTGAAAACAGGGGATGAAAGGAAAACGAGTGTGGGTGGTCGACCTCCGTGAGTGTGAGTGCGAGTTTCACGGAGTAGTTTGGCTTATTAAGTACAGAGACCGGGCTCGACCAGGTTCTGAAACGCCTCAAAACTAAAACGTTTCAATTACACCCCCCCCCCCCCCCCCCCCCCCTCCCCTCCCTCCCCCCCCCCCCACAAAAAAAAAAAAAAAAGTCAACCCCCCCAAGAAAACGAAAAAAACCCCATCCCTCCCTTGTTCTTCCCATGCGCCTCGTCCCGTCCATACTACAGACTGCCATCAGCTATGGCATCGGAAGCGCTGCCAGGTATTTTCGACTGGGTAGTGATGCTGGGGGAGGAAGGGGAGGGGAGGGGGTGAGGGGAGGGAAAGGGGTGCGGGAGGGGAGAGGTGAGAGTGTCAGCGTCCCTACTGGCTGAACCTCGCCTGTTGGTTATTGGTTGAGGTCTCAATTGCCGATTGAGGGTTTAGGGTGTCGCTTCAGGGTATTGAATGTAGCTTTGAGATTTGGGTGTAGCTTGAGGGTGTTGGGTGCTGCGTGAGTGTTTTTGGTGTTCTTTCAGGGTTTTGTGTCACTTGAGGGTTTTGGGTGCCCATTTTGTCCTATCGTCCTTCTCCCATCGCCCATAATTGTTTCCTCCCCCTTGCCCCCTACCGCCCTTCACCCCATTGCACCCTACCAACCTTCCATCCACCCTTCTCCCCTTTCCCCTCTACCGCCCTTCTCTCCATTCCCCTTCCGCAGTTTTCCTTTTCCCCATCTCCCCCTATCTCGCGTCTCCCCAACCCCAGCTGCCTCTATCTGTTACTGCTCTTCAAGGTCAGCTGGGGGTGACACCCCTCACCCTCAGCCTGCTACCCCCAGACACCACTCTCATCTGCCTTGGCTCTCAAACCCCTCTGCCCCTCCCCTTCTCCCCATCTCCCACAACCAGCTACCTCTACCTGCTGCCGTTCTGCAATGACACTGGCACCTTTACACTCTTGAGGACCTGCGTGCCTGCAGCCTTTCTCAACCCTATTCCCCTTCTCCTCATTCCCTCTCTTTCACCCTTTCCTCCCCCCCACACCCAGCTGCCTCTACCTGCTGCCGCTCTGCAATGACACTGACACCTTTTTTCTCTTGAGGGCCTGATGCTGCAGGGTGTTTGTGAGAATTTTCAAAAACGACCTGCTGCCGCTCTGCAATGACACTGACACCTTTTCTCTCTTGAGGGCCTGCCTGCCTGCAGCCTTTCTCAACCCTATCCCCCTTCTCCTCATTCCCTCTCTTTCACCCTTTCCCCCCCCACACCCAGCTGCCTCTACCTATTGACAGCCCCTTCAACAACAACACTGACACTATCACCCCTGCCCTGAGGACCTGCCTCTGAAACCCTCTGTGCTTCCTCCCCTATCGTCCTTCTCCCCTGCACAACCTCCCCCATCCAGCTGCCTCTACCTGCTGCTTCTCTTCTAAGGCACTGACACCATCACTCCAGAGGACCTGCCTCCGGTCTTCCTCACCCCCTGTCGCCCTTTTCCCCCCTTCTTCCTTCTCCCTTCTCCTTTCTCCCCATCTCTCCATCTCCCTTCTCCCCGTCTCCTCATCTCCCTTCTCCCCATCTCCTCATCTCCCTGCTCCCTCCCCACATCCAGCTGCCTCTACCTGCTGCTGCTACTCAACGACACTGACACCGTTGCCCCAGAGGACCTGCCTCCAGCTTTCCTCCTCACCTCCTGTCTCCCTTCTCCCCATTTTCCCCTGTCACCCTTCTCCCCCACAACCTTCCTCCCAACATCCAGCTGCCTCTACCTGCTGCTGCTATTCAACGACACTGACACCATCACCCTGGAGGGCCTCCCTCCCGCTTTTCTCATCTGCTCCTCTCTCCATTCACCCTGACCTTACTCTTTCGCCCTTCTTCCCCACACCCCCAGCTGCCTCTACCTGCTACTGCTGTTCAACGACACTGACACCATTGCCCCCGAGGACCTGCCTCCAGCCTTCCTTCCTCACCTCTAGCGCCCTTCTTCCCCCTTTCTCTCTTCACCCTTTTCCCTTCACCCTTCTCCCCCACCCAGCTGCCTCTACCTGCTGCTTCTTTTCAACGACACTGACACCATTGCCCCCGAGGACCTGCCTCCAGCCTTCCTTCCTCACCTCTAGCGCCCTTCTTCCCCCTTTCTCTCTTCACCCTTTTCCCTTCACCCTTCTCCCCCACCCAGCTGCCTCTACCTGCTGCTTCTTTTCAACGACACTGACACCATTGCCCCCGAGGACCTGCCTCCCGCCTTCCTCATCGACCGGAACAAGCCCAAGAGGTGAGGCAAGATGACAAGGGGTGAGAAGGGGTGAGGAGGGGTGAGACGGTGTGAGTTGAGGTGAGAGTGGGTGAAACAGAAAATTGAGCACGTTTCAAATGTACTATGCAGCCAAACCCACATGAAACTCTCTACACCCATCCAAACCCCTCTCGTCACCCTCGTCACCACTTCTCATCCAGCTAGCTCACGCTGACAGCCTGGCATCAGCACACTCTTCTCAGAATCTTCTGCAGGGGCATTCAACGCCCTCTCGCCATCTCAATGTCTCTGTGTTCCCCTAACCTGCCACGGTGCCACCTTACCCAACCCCTACCCACCCCTCCCCTCACAGGAAGGGGCTTGTTGACAGCTTAGGAACAGTCGATTAGCCCCAGAAGCTCCTGCAGGGGGCTCTGCTCGCCCTCTCCTCGCGCCGCCGCCTGCTCGTGCCTTCTCCACCCTCTATCTACCCACCTCATACCAACACCCCATCCCATCCCAACCCCCGCAGCTCCCAGGAAAGGCCTGATTGACAGCCTAGCAACAGTCGACTCGCCCCAGAAGCTAGTGCAGGGGTCTCAGCTCGCCCTCTCCTCTCAATGTCCTTGCTCCCCTTACCTGCCCCCTTACCCACCCCTCTACCCAACCCCCCCCCTCCTCTAAAACCAACCCCAGGAAGGGCCTGGTTGACAGCCTAGCAACAGTCGATTCACCCCAGAAGCTGCTGCAAGGAGCACAGCTCGCCCTCTCCTTCCACCGTTGTTGTTCCCCTAACCTGCCACCTTACCACCCTCCCCCTTTGGCAGGAAGGGCCTGGTTGACAGCCTAGCAACAGTCAATTCACCCCAGAAGCTGCTGCAGGGGGCACAGCTCGCCCTCTCCTCGCGCCGCCTGCTCATGCCTTATCCACCCTCTACCCACCTCATGCCAACACCCCGTCCCAACCGCCCTCTCCCAGGAGGCCTGGTTGACAGCCTAGCAACAGTCGATTCACCCCAGAAGCTGCTGCAGGGAGCACAGCTCGCCCTCTCCTCCTGCAGTCTCTGTGTCCCTGTTACCCATCCCCTAACGATACCCATCCCTCCCCTCCTCTAACCACTCTCTACCCACCCATTCCAGGAAGGGCCTGGTTGACAGCCTAGCAACGGTCGACTCGCCCCAGAAGCTCCTGCAGGGCGCTCAGCTCGCCCTCTCCTCGCGCCGTCTGGCCGTGCCTGCTGCCCTCGTGCTGCTCTGGGCCTTCTCCGTGCAATTCAGCGGCAGCGACCCCAACAGCTTGCACATCGAGGTGAGGAGGTTTGTAGCTAAGTTGGATCTTACGTTTTCGGTTCCTAACGTTTTCGGACGATTACGACAATTTTTACGTTTACGAACGGTCGCCCTGATTCGGCCTTACATTTACGGTCACCTAAAAACTTTTCTGAGCTGCCCGAGGAAAAGAAACGACCAGAGCATCAGGAAGACTCCCTCCAAACTAGTTCTGTAACTCGCTATCTTGTTCGACGTCAACCTAGCAGCTCGTTCGCAACCTATCGTGTTTCTCTCTTACTAACCCGGTCAACGCTGAATCTGAAACTTTCAGACTTGAAAGGCGCTCCATACGTAGTAAAGTCGCTATTCTATGCAGGTACACGACAAATTAGTGGTAGGATCTGGTACCCGTACACAATCCAGAAAAAAACAAATATCACAGTAGTTTTTTTTTCCTGCCCGCCTCATACTTACGCGTAATTTTACGTTTCCGTTTACGTTTACGCTAAATTACACGAAAATTACGTTTACGAGACCTCAAAAAACGTAAGAGACCGGCTTAGGTTTGTAGGATGGTGGTGAGAGGTGGTAAGTGGTGCTGAGAGATGCATGCACCCTCCTCCTGCCGCCTGCTAGTGCCTGCTCGTGCCTGCTGCCCTCGTGCTGCTCTGGGCCTTCTCCGTGCAGTTCAGCGGCAGTGATCCCAACAGCTTGCACATCGAGGTGAGGAGTGACAAGGTTTGAAGGAGAGTGCTGGTGACTGCTGAATGTAGGGGGCAAAACTACGTGAAGTGAGGGTGTTTTTGAGACGTCTCAAAAACACCCTCACTTCACGTGAGGAGTGAGAAGGTTTGAAGGAGAGTGGTGGTGACTGCTGAATGTTGGGAGCAAAACTCGCCCTCCGCTCGCCCTCTGCTCGCCCTCTGCTCGCCCTCTGCTTGCCCTCTGCTAGTCCTCTGCTTGCCCTCTGCTAGTCCTCTGCTTGCCCTCTGCTAGTCCTCTGCTCACTGTCTGCTAGTCCTCTGCTCGCCCTCTGCTCGTCCTCTGCTCGCCCTCTGCTCGCCCTCTGCTCGTCCCCTGCTCGCCCTCTGCTCGTCCTCTGCTTGCCCTCTGCTCGTCCTCTGCTCGTCCCCTGCTCGCCCTCTGCTCGCCTTCTGATCGCCCTCTGCTCCCCTTCTGCCCTCACCTTTCCTGTAGTGCACGTTCTTGGTGCAGTTTTTGTATGCCATGCAGTTTTTACTGCTTTTATATTTTTTAGGCGCCTCAAAAAGCGCTTCAGAAATCGTCTCAGTTCCCTCTGCTCGCCTTCTGCTCTCACCTTTCCCGTGGAGCACGTTCTTGGTGCAGTCTTCATATGCCATGTAGTTCTTACTGCTTTGATATTTTTTAGGCGCCTCAAAAAGCGCCTCAGAAATCGTCTCAGTTCCCTCTGCTCCCCTTCTGCTCTCACCTTTCCTGTAGTGCACGTTCTTGGTGCAGTCTTCATATGCCATGCAGTTCCTACTGCTTTTATACCTTAATGACTTTCGAGTCGACTCAAACGTCAATTCGTACTTGGTGTAATCTTCATATGCCATGCAGTTCGCATCCTTTTACACCTTAATCCCTTCTCACTCTTTCACTTCTGCTCTCCGTTTCCTCCTTTCCCTTGCCCGGTCATCTGTTATATCCTCCCTTTGTTTCCTATGGAAACAGTTTGCGCCCCTCTTTATAGGCTTCCTCTCGTACAAGATTGCAGTGTTACTTTTCACTATCGAAGATGTTACCAAGTAATGCTGATCCAAGCTCCTTCTACCAAGGGATACATTATTATTGTTTCTCCTATTACTGTACTAGGCTGCACACTCCAGCAGAGAATAAAGGGTGCTGATGTGGCACTCAAATTGTTGTGACCCAAATCTTGTAGGATCTCCCACATCATCTCATACTGTACCATGATGAGTAAATACGGTAGCACAATTGTAGTGAAAAGGTGTAAGCAATGAGCATACAATATTGAACATATGCAACTGGGTGACTGCTACCGTAAGTACCGTAGCAGTGACTGATGCTGCAACATACCCGTAGTGAGAGAATGTAAGGGCAGACCCTTTTCCCTTACTGGGGTTTACTCAACCGCGTACAACCCAGGGCTCTTGCTAGGATTTGGGCCTGTCTGACATACCTACCGTAAGTAAAAAAACCGTTCCGTCTGACGTTTAGACGGGCATATTTTTTTGGTCTGGTTTTTTGGACGAATGTTAAAGCTTAGTCTGATTCTTCATACGATTCAATTTGCACAGTCTGATTTAGCTAACACACATGTCTAACATAATCACGCTTGTTTTGTTAATGAACGCGCCCCTGGCGCGGTGCTGACAGCTCGCTAGCTGACAGACAGTTGTGTGGCTATTGAGGGGCACGCACATGACAATGAGGGGCTGCGACGCGAGGGATCAGGGTGGGTGGAGGTGGAGGGACGCGAAGGGAAGGGGGGGCTGGGCTGCGAGACATTAGGAGGGGCATGAAAGCGGGCTAGGCTGGGAGCGAGACCTGGAGAGACCTCAGGTTGGGGAAAGAGGGAGAAGGGTTGGACAGGACTAGGCCTGGAAGAGGAGCGAGGGCATAGAAGGGGGGGCTGAGCTGGTAGAGTAGCGAGAGATCGGGGGGGAAAGGGAGGGTTGGGGGGAGGGGGATCGGTATCAAACGAAAAACAACTCGTTCTCTGAAATTTCAGACTAACTATAGAGCTTGCTCTGAAATATCAGATGAACTAAAATCAGTCATCTCACGGATCAGACGAAATAAAAAGCATCGTCTTAGAGATCAGATGAAAGCGAAAATCTACGTCTGAAAATCAGACCATCAAACCAATTTGGTCTGATAACGAGAGCCCTAGTACAACCCCGACGCTCGGAAGTGTACGTTTGGCCGGTTTGCTTGCTGTCGAAGCAACCTCGCGTCGCCTTCGGCTTTCCTTTTGCCAAACCTGCACCCACCCAACCTCATGTTCCCAAGGTTCCTGCCTAGCTAGGTTGACCCGCTATATTATCGCGTCTCTTTCATTGTATCGTCAGTTCATTGAGTCAGAGTCTCGTTATTCGTTCTTCTGTGCAACTCTGTTTTACAACTCATAATAACAAAGGGTGTAATGGTTTTGGAATGCTACTGGTTTATGATTGGTTTATACGTAGACACATGCATATGTACACTACATAGACACCGAGTAATATTTCACAATTGCATTGCTGGAAAACCTTTTATTACCGTACACCCAAATATTGAGAAGCTTTTCGTATGTACCTACAGTGACAGCTTTAGAGATAGAATGTCCACTCGTCGCAGTTCCTTCAACGCATTCCCAACTTCTCCCCCTCTCTCCCCTCCTCCTGCTCTTGCTGCTGTTGCTCCTGCGCCTTGTGCAACCTCTCTTTTCCACGCTTCCGCTGCTCCCCCCAACCTCTTCAATTTTGCTGCTGCTACAGCTGTCCCTGCTCTCCCTGCCCCCGCTGTACCCTCTGCCCACACTCCACCTCCTGCTTCTCCCGACCCCCCCGCTTCTCTTGCTCTCTGGAACCTCCCTGCTCTTGCTGCTGCTGCTGTTGCCCTTGCTCTCCCTGCTCTTGCTGTCGCTGCAGCTGCCTCTGATGATGCTCTTGCTGCTGTTGCCCTTGCCTCTGCTTCCCCTGCTCTTGCTGCTGCTGCAGCTGCCTCTGCTGATGCTCTTGTTGATGAAGCTGTGTTTGCTGATGCTTTTTCTGTAGCTGCTGCTGCTGCTGCTGCTGCATCTACCCCTGTTGATGCTCTTGCTGCTGCTGCATCTGCCCCTGCTGACGCTATTGCGACCCGGGCTGCCAGGCTTTTGGGGGGTACTGCCCTGGGGATTGCGGGAAATACACCTAGAGAAGTGGGGTTACTGCGAATACGCCCCATGACATGCGCAGCACGGAACACAGCACTGGGCAGGTTGCATCTTGGAACCAAACAGATTGGACTGGGCTCAGCAGCAGCAGCTGTAGCAGCAGCAGCTGTAGTAGAGGCGGCAGCTGTAGCAGCCGCAGCTGTAGTAGAAGCAGCGGCTTTAGAAGCAGCAGCTGTAGCAGCGGCAGCTTTAGCAGCTGTAGCAATTGTAGCAGCTGCAGCAGGTGCAGCAGGTGTAGTGGCTGCGGAAGTGGGAGTTGTGGGGGAGGCAGGGGCGTCTGGGGGAGGTGACAACTGGGGAAGGTTCATGCAGGGCTCGGGGAGCGAGAAAGAGGAGGAACGGGAGCGATACGCGGTAACGAGAGAGGTCGGCTGGGAGTGAGAGGAGGGATGGTTACCGGTTGGAGATGAGGGAGGGGAGAGAGGGCACGAGGTTGCACGGGGGGAATGTGGGGAGCGAGGGGAGGCAGATGTTGGAGTGAGGGTAGAACAAAGGGTGGGGGCTTCAGTAGGCTTGGTTGCTCCTTGTCTCCGTAAAGGCCGAACCTGGCTTTGATGCCTCTCGTTGGATGTGCTTGCATATAATGTGACGGTAGCAGATTTCGACGTGCTGGTTTCTTGGACTGGTAACATGGTAACTGGAAGCTTTCTGTTGTCTTTGTCGTGTTTCCTGCTCGCCTCTTGTACTGTACAACCTGGAGCGTCGTTGCTGAATGTCTTCATAAGAACTTCATCTGTATTGCAGGCCTCTGTCTTGATCTTATCAGAGCCGTTTGAGTCGGAGATGCGCTCCCTGCATTGGTGCGCGTCAGAATGTTCGGCGCAGCCTGCGGACGCGCAAGGATCATCGAAAATCTCCTCCTTCACGCGTTTTTGCGGAGGCGCACTCATCTGATCGGGGGAAAGTGGAGGGGAAGCGATGAAAGCGGAAAGGCAGGTTTAGAATAAACCCCGACACTCATGGTTCGAGATTTCTGGGTTTTGGGGGGAGAACTTACGTACAATCATGGAATTTCCGCAGCGCTAACCTGCGATTCGAAGCGCTGCAAACGGCACTTACCGATTCGTTTTCGTGCGTCTTTCTTTTCGACGAACGCGGCAGCAGCGCGTCGTATTTCGATTTTAGCTCCGCGTGCTCCTCCGCCAAATCCCCCATCTCGCGCTTCGCCCGCTCATTTTCTTTCCGCAGTTCCGCCAGCTCCGCGTGCGCTTGCGCCAACTCCCCGCGCAGCCGCGTTAGCTCCCCTTCCCTCGCCAGCGTAGCGTGTTTCACGCGTCGGTTCTGGAACCATACCGCGACCTGACGTGGCTTTAATCGGAGCTGACTCGCCAGCTTTAGCCGCGTCTCGAGTTTAATTTCGCGCTCGATGTCCGTAAAATGCGACTCGAGCACTTCGATCTGCGCGGGCGATAGGCGCAGCTTGGACTTCCGCTTGGACTTGGGGGGCTTAGGAGTTGCGGGGGACCGTTGCGCAGAAGCGGCGGACGGAGAGGGGGAGGGGAACGGAAAAGGGGAATCCGCCGCTTTCTCGTGACACGCAGAGTAGTAGATGGGCGGCGAGTCACGAGCCACTTCCTCAGCTTCGTCAGTTTCTTCGTCATCCCCTCCCTCTCCCTCTTCCTCCTCCTCGTCGTCGATTTCGTGGCTAACGCGCCGCAGCAGCGGCGCTGGTTGCGCCGAGAAAAGTGCCGCCGCCGGGACCACGGGCTTCGAAAATCCCCGCGTGGTCCCGTTCTCGCTATTGATTGCCATAGAGGCAACCACGGCGCCGGTAATGCCAGTATCTCCCACTGCGGCTGTTGCTCTTGCCGCATTGGTATCGCCGTTGCTCGATTGCCCGGGACGAGCGGGAAAGGAATATGAAGGAAGCATCGAATGCAAGGATAGCTTCACGCCGTATCCAGAAATCGGCGAGTCGCCGCCGTGAGGGTTGCGAGATGTGTGAGGTTCGCCGCGATAGTTGCAAGAGCCGCGAGAGCCGCGAGAAGTGCCTTCGGATGAGTGGTTCTTCTCCGAAGCGCGTATCGCGTGCGGAGCCTCGCATGCGACGTCGTTAGGATGACCGTAGTCGTCGCCGTCGCCGTCGTCGTCGTCGCCACTGTCGTCGCCATCGCCATCGCCATCGCCGTCGTCTTCTTCTTCGTCATCGTTCTCGTTCATGCGACGGTCGACGTCGTTGTCGTTGCTCGACAAATCAAAGCAATCCGGACGCTCGCCGCCGCCGCCCCCGCCGCCCCGGCCGTCGACATCCACGGGT